GTGGACCGTGTTTGGCTCGCTCAAGCGGCCAGGCCAGCCCAACCTCACCCTGTGGCCCAAGCCGGCGGCGGGCGGCCGGACGATGCCCCTCCATCCGGGCGCCGTCGGATCGGCGGCGGGCGTGGCGACGAGCATCGCCGGCTGGTTCGGCACCAAGACCAGCGGCGTCCTTTCGATTGGCGACCAGTTTGACGCGGCGCTCGCCGGGCCCAACCGGCCGGATCCGCCCAAGCTGGGCGACCCGCTGCCGCCGCGCGACTTTCGCGTCAGGATGCCCGACGTGCCCGCCACCTCAACCCCGCCGGCCGCGCGCCACACCAGCAGCAGCAGCAGCAGCGTTGGCGCTGGCCCAGGCTCAGGGCGGACAGACGCGGGCAAGGCGCGAGCCGTGGCGGAAGAGACGCAGCAGGCGGCCGGATACGGGTACCAGAATATCGACCTGCTCAAGGCGCGGGGCGCCATGATGAGCGGGTGAGTAGCGGGCCAGGCCGGGCCAGGCTTACCTTTGACGGCGAGCGGTATCGGCAGCGAGCCGTACGGCGGATCAAGGCCGCTGACATTTGCCTTCCTGACACCATCCCTACGTCCGCCGCCATCAGCATCGAGGAAGGCCTGACTACGCTCGAGCGGGGCGCCTCGGACTTTGTCAAGGGGTGAGCCTGAGCCTGCGATTCCTGCCTTGCTTCCTTGTCGCTGCTGCCATCCGCCGACGTCGGCTTCTGACCCCCTGCTTGACTCCCTTTCCCTCCTTCGCCCTCCCTCGTCGTCTCTGCTGGCCGGCAGCACCCGCGACATGGCCATCAAGTCGGCGGCCAAGGACAAGCTCAACAAGTTTCTCTTTTGACCCGATCCGCAGTCGATCCCGCACCAGCCGCCTCGACCTAGCCTAGCCTAACCTTATTCCCCCTCGCCTCTCTTGCTGGCTGGCTGGCTTGCTTGCTCCTTGTCGCCTTTTGTTGGGGGCGAGGCTGGCGTGGCTGGTCGATGTGTGCAGTTTGGTCCCGACCGGCGGCCAAGCCCGTACGTGCGTTCGCAGACCGACGCTCGGCCCGCACCGCCTTGCCTGCCTGCCTGCCCGCACACACGCACGCACGTTTTTGCGGCTGCATCCGAAACTCGAGCCGAGCCGAGTCCAGCCCAGCCCAGCCCAGCCAGGCCCAGCCATGCCCCGCGCGGCTCTCCTTGGTTGCTTGCCGGCATCGGCACCGGTGCCGTCACCGTCGTTCGTCGCCGACGCCCTTGCTTCCTTGAGCTTGTCTCTAACCTTACCCTAGCCTGCCTCTGGCTGCCTCGGCCCCGCTCCGACCCGGCTCTGCCGCACAAAGAGAAGGATTTGCCTACTGTACCTGCCTCCCTCACGAACCTTCCCGCAGCAAAGCAGGCGAGACCAACAAGCAACAGCGCAGCCGTCGGGTCGCGCGCCGGCTTGCCTTGCCTGTTTGCAGTCGGCAGCTTCCAGGGCGGCGAGCGGGCAGGAGGAGGCTCAAGCTAGGTTGCCGCCGCTTGGCTGGCGCTTGCCAGTCGGGGCGGAGAGCGAAAAAGATCCGAGCCGGCCTGACCTGCCTGGCCTGGCCTGGCCTGATCATGGCGGACGGTACAGCCGGCCAGCCTGTACGTACGTGTGCTCGACGGTGGGTCGCAGCAGGTGGGGATCCCCATCTCCTCAGTCCCCGCTCCCGCGCCCCAGCAGACGACGAGCGGGCCATCATCGAGGCAGAAGTCGGGCGGGCAGGAAGCTAAGGCCAACCCCCCGCGCCCTGCCTCTCTCTCTCTCTCATGCGATCCACGCATGCGCAGGCCCTAGGGCTACGTACGGCGAGGGCTCTGGGGGAGGCGGAGGCTAGGGGCGAGAGCTGAGTCAAGGCGCAGTAGGCACGCCGCCGCCCGCCTGCCAGGCAGACCAGCCTAGCGGCGTCGGTGTCGGGGCCACACACCTGGGGCAGGCGACGAGGAGGAAAGAAAAGAAAAATGAAGCAGGCGAGGCGAGGCGAGGCTGGGCTGGGCTGAGCTGGGCCGAGCCAGGGTCTCCACGTTGCGTTGGCTGCCTGGCCAGGCCTGGCCTTGCCTGCCTTTGGGCTCAAACGCAAAAAGACGCCCGCCACCTCTGCTCGGCGAAGAAGGCGAAAGAGTGCCGCCGGCCATGTGCAAGCCAGCCCGACAGGACCCCATCCCGGCCTGCTGCCTCCCTCTCTCTTTGGTGCCTGGCAAAGCCCCGCCTTATGCCCTCTGCACGTCGATCCACGCCTGCCTGCCAGCCAGCCAGCATGCCGGCCCGCCTCCTCTCCTCCTCTTCATCATCATCACCACCACCACCACCACCACCACCACCCATCGTCCGCCGTCACGTCGACTTCCGGCACCGAATCCCCGCCAACCATCCCCACCGCTGCGGATTCGAGGGGCGAGGCCGCGCGCTATGACACGACGACGCCACCGCTGCTGCTCCTCCTAGCTGCATCGACCCATCCACGCTGGCCCGACGATCGCATCACCTGCCTCGCTGATACCCCGCTCGTCTGACCGCCCCGCCGTCGCAAACCATTTCACCGCCTACCGAGGCACTCTCCGACTAGACCTCACCACCACCACCACCACCACCACCACCTCCGGCGGCCGCCTACTGCACCTCTGCCCACCATGAAGTTTGGAAAGACGTACATGGAGACCATGGCCGACCCATCGTTCCCAAAAGAGTGGAGGCAGGGTGCCATCGAGTACAAGCATGTGGGTTCATCCCTGCCCTGGCCTGCCTTCCCACTTCCTAGACCCCGCCGCTGACGCCCTCGTTCCACCCATGGCCCTCCCTTTGCCCCCTGCGCCACCCGCCTGTGCAGCTCAAGAAGCTCATCAACGGCGTCGTTGCGGAGCTCGAGTCGCTCGGCCTGGGCGCCGACGTCCTCCGCGAGCTGCTGGTGCCCCACGTCGAGGCGCTCAACGAAAGGACCTCGGACGACTCTGGCCCAGACTCGAAGCGGGCGCCGCGCTCGTCGGCTCGCCGCGACGCTTCCCGCTCCGTCTCGCCACGCCGCGACTCGTCGGCCGAGGGCAGGGCCACTGGCGGATCGCGGCGCGAGTCGCAGCAGAGCAGCCTGGCCGACTGCGACACCCCCGGCAACGACTCGCTTTCGCCCGTCTCCGAGGAGCTCGATCCGCTCGAAACCGAGCCGCAGCAGCAGACGCCCGCCGAGAGGTGGCTCAGCAACTTTTCCGCCGAAAAGATCCGCCGCCCTTCGTTGACCGGCGCAGCGACCAAGGCCTCGGCCGACTCTGCCGCGGCCCGCCTGAGGCGCGAGGAGCTGGGCAGCATGGAGAGGAGCAACTCGTACGACGCCGACATCGACGGCGACGCCTCGTCGTCGACATCCGGCGCGCTGCCCAGCCGGGTGGCAGGCCCGAGCCGGCTGTCGGTGCCTGCCCCGTCGCATCCCAAGGCGAGGCGCTCCAGCCACGCTGCCGGCGAGCGTGCGGCGGTCCGGCTCGCCAGGCTCAGCCTCAGCGAGGCGCACGACGGCGCCAACTCGGGCGACGACGACTTTGAGGAAGAGGCCGGCCCGCTCGAGGGCGCAAAGTGGTCCGGACTCGGCCGCAAGGACCTGTCAGCCATGCGGGCGCGGAGGCACAGCACGGCGGACGGCCCAGACTCGGTGTCGAGGCCGAGGCGGAGCGAGCCGAGCCCGGGCCGGCACGACTGGGGCGCCCAAAAGTGGCGCAACGCGCCCCGCCCGACGTGGGACTCGGATGCCGAGCGGAAGGCGGCGGCAGCGGCCCCGTCCGCACCCGCCGCGCCCAC